GCCACAACGCCTGGCCATTTTTTGGTTGCAGCCATCATTGTTGTTTGGCAGGCCGGGGCTGGGGATTCGAACCCGCCACCTTAGTTGTATGTGGCTGGCGCCTTAGCCACTTGAGCCACAGGCGCCGAACCTTGGTCTGCTTTCTAAAGTTGTCTTTGTATTAGGATCTTTCTTTCTAGAGCTGTCTTTATATTTGTATCTTTTAATACAGTATATTTTGTGCCATGCAGTCCACTATCTTTTGGGTTGTACTTTACATACAGATTTTATTACCTTCTAGTTAGGACCATGGTCAAATTTGGATAAAAGGGATTCATGAATCTAAAAGAAATGCATCATCTACAGCTTGAAAACACTAGAGAAAGCTTAGAAGGTGATGATAGAACCGAGGGGTGAGGAGGTGGCAGTTTATGGACAAAGTCTGTGTTTGAACCTAAGGGTGATTTAGGAACTATCTTGAGCATACTGCCTTTTGTTGCATGGGTAAATAGAGGGAGAGGTATGAAGTTAGTTCCTTTAGGGAAGATAGAGTATGGGGAAAGAGATGCAGGGAGAAATACCTTAGTTTCATAAATCCAGAAATATCACCTGACCATTGACCGGACTTCCCCAAATCCACCCAATTTGGCCCCAGAAATGACTCCTCAGACCGACCCCTCCTTTTTCTTCCCCTCCTGCGTTCTTCATTTTCCTTTTGCTAGTTTACAGCCCTCTTGCCCCATTCCCTCCGCTCTCCACATTGCACAGAATTGTCTTCCATCAAAGAGAAATCTCATCATGCCAACCCTCTGCTTTAAAAAACCACGACCGGTTTCAAGTGTCCTTCTGCAGGATCCGCCTCAGTGTCATTCCTTCACCTGCTATACAAAAATCCTCCACAACCTGTTTCCATCTTCCTCTTCAGCCTTATCTCCCCTGCCGTCTAACCCCATCAACACTTTAGAACAGGATGTGCCTTGCCTTTCTCTTAAGAATGCCCTTTCTCAGCTCCTGCCTATCCTTCATAAAGAGTGTCCTCAAATGTTCCCTTTTCTGGACAGCCTGCACTCCTTCCGCCCCCGCCCTGGCCAAGCGCTGTTAGTGGCTTTGTCTTCTGAGTCATACCTCTATTATAGCATTCCCGGGATCATAATACCTGTTTTTGTGTCTCTTCGACTATACTAGGAAAGCAGGGACCATAGTAATTCAAGTGTGTCCCCATTGCTTAGCATAGTAAATAACACAAAATAGGCATACGTGGATGGATGGTCCAACCGATGGACGGACGGATGGATGGATAAGTGAGTGGGTGGATGTTAGCTGGTATGGGTGGGGAAAGGAGATGGATAGCCCGAGAAATTAGGAAAGGGAACCCTGAGACCATCAAAGACAGACACCAGGGGGAGCCGAGACACCGCACTAAAGAAGTGGGAGGGCGGACTAAAGAAGGCTGCATGCTCTGAGGTGAGCGAGTGAGCAGCGCGCACTGAAGCAAACATCACGCCAACTGAAACTGCTCACCCACGTGTGTGTCCCCTCATCCAGCAACCCCAGGCTATGTCTGAGCCCACCTCACCCCCTCCACCGCCCCTGAAGCCTCCACCGCCTCTGAGAAAGCAAACAAAGGGGAGGGGACCCCTGCGGGGTTCTGGCCGCCAGCAGCCAATCGCAGGGCTTCATTTCCCAGAAGGCGGGCACCTTCGTTTAAGGGCCCCAATCAGCTTCTCAGGGGCCGGGAGGGGCGGAGAGATGGGCGGGAAGAACAGGATCCCGGACAAACGGCTGGGAGGTCTGCCCGGGAGGGTACAGAGCGCGAGGGTGGGGGCGGAGCCAACCTCCGGGAGTGTCTGCAAGTAGAGGGCGGGCAGCTGAGCGGCGCGCGCGGTCAGGCTGACGCATCTGGTCGCGGTTTCCCAGGATCAGAGGCGAAGGCCCCGAGGGGAGGGGGTAGAGGAGAAAGAGAGGAGGGTGCGCGTGCGCAGTGGCGCGGGGAGGAGCAGGGACCTGGCAGCGGGTGAGAAGGCTGCAAGCGAGCCGCGAGCGGAGCCGGCGGCGGGCGGCGAGCGCGCGCACCATGGGCGAGAAACCCGGGACCAGGTAAGGGAGGTGGGGCCACGCGGCGGGGCATGAGCGATGGCTCCGGGCAGGTGCTCGGATGGTCCCCAGACAGGGACATGGGAGAGAGAGAATCAGGGGGCCGGACGCCTGGGTCCCTAGGGGCCAACCATCTGGGGCCGCAGGAGTAGGTCCTCGAGGATAATGGGGGTGAAGGGAAGCGCGTGCCTGGGCCCCTGCAGAAGGCAAGGCCTGAAGGGGATCAGAAAACTAGCGTCTGAGTTCTTGCAGCCGGCGTCTGGGTTCTTGTCTGGTACTTAGTTCTCCCGTGCAGGCTTTGATGCAGGGGCAGAGGAAGGAGGAGCAGGTGGCTAACCCCGAGGGGTTGTGTATGGGAGGCTGGATTCTGGGAGGGGGGTCCCCTCTAGACTTGTGCCAAGCCAATGGAAAGCCTCCTGTCCAATACTCCACAGGCAGCTGGGCTGCCCACACCTGTCCCGAGGGCCGGGTGGCTCCTCTTTCAAACTTCTGCCTTCTCCTGGGTTGCTAGGAGCAACAGCTTCATCTTGGGGAAGCAGAGTACTTGACGGTCCACGAAATGGGACCTTATCCTTCTCCCCGGGGGTGGGGAGAGGCAGTATTTGTCCTGGGCCCGCATCCACTCCCCGGATGTTTTCTGTGCAATCGAGGCTCCTTCCTTTCACTGACACCCCGAGTTCTCTTTTTTGGTCTCTAGCAAAATCCACTTCCTGTTGTGACTCAACACCCCCAAGGGGGTAAGAGGGTGAATGCCTGAGTCCCAGGGGAGCAGGAGCAAAAGAGGAAAAGGTTTGGGCTGTATGCTTCAACCCAGAGGGGATCTGGAATGGGGGCCTGGTCCTGAGCTGTCACTTTTTCTGCAAAACAGCACATCAGCCCTACCACTTCCCACCCATACTGTATGAGAACCTAGGTTTCTAAGCATCAAGTAGGCAAGTATCAGAGATGATCAGAGATGATCAGAGGGAGGATTGGTGTCCTGGATTAGAGGTTAAACACCCCAGAGAAAAGGGAAGTCTGTGACTTGAGGGAGGCCCTGGTTTCCGTTATGTGGTTCAGGGAGGGGGACAGATGGACCAAAGTGGGACTGCTGACTTGGCACAACACCTCTCACCCCTAGCAAATTCTAGGCCACAGGAAGTGGAAAGAATAGCAGGAAGTGTGAAGGGGCACCTACTTCAGCTGATCCCTCTCACCAGGCGCTTCACTGGTCATCCCCACACTCGCCTTCCTTGGCCAGCCCCAGCATATGCATGCTGCTCCTCCCTAGCCAGCCTGGCAGGAGGAGGGTAGTTTAGAATCCAAAGGGCAGGTGCCCTGCAGCTGCTCCAGGGCAATTGCCGGAGAATCACACTCCAATTGGCCAACTGTTAATTGTGGCTGTCACAGTGCTCTGCCAGGGCTCCTAATGGGAGGAAACACTGGGACAAAGAGAAAACCAGAAGTAAAGGGGAGAGAGAGCTTGGATGATGCCGCAGCAATCAGCCCCCAAGTTGGGACAAAAGTAGGGTGTTTATTCTAGCTGCCACCATAATGATGGATAGTTACTCTCCTTTATTGATGGGGAATATTTAGGGGCCTTTGGACAGCTTGGCCTTCTGGGAATAAGGGGCAAGTGAAGTTGTTATAGCAGAAACTAGGGTGGCAGATTTGGAGCAGGCACAGCCCAGTTAGCTGGCAGGATTTCAGTTTCTACTATCTGGGGACCATTTCCAGGGATCACTGCTGAGGCAGAGTGGATTGGGTACAGAGGCACTTCAAAAAACAGGCTCGGCTCGGCGCCTATGGCTCAACCGGCTAAGGCGCCAGCCACGTACACCTAAGGTGGCGGGTTTGAATCCCCAGCCCGGACCCGCCAAACAACAAAGAAGGCCGCAAACAAAAAAATAGCCGGGCGTTGTGGCGGGCGCCTGTGGTCCCAGCTACTTGGGAGGCGGAGGCAGGAGACTCGCTTGAGCCCAGGAGTTGGAGGTTGCTGTGAGCTGTAATGCCACGGCACTCTACCCAGGGGGACAGCTTGAGGCTCTGTCTCAAAAAAAAAAAAAAAAAAAAACAGGCTCACACTCAACCAGCATACTGGAGTCCTCAGATAATTCTCTACCTTCCTAACAACAGGTGGAGTCTAGGCTTAGGTTGTTTCAGCAACTGGGAATTGAATCTCCTTCAGTTCAACAAACAATTGAAGCAGAGACCGATAGTGCAGTAGCTTAGTGATTAAGAACGTGGACTCGGACCCACTCTGCCTTGGTTTGTATGTGAGTTTGACCATTTATACTCTCTGTGACCTTAAACAAATTACATGACCTCTCTGGAGGGGGCACACACTGGCACCATGTTAAAGTGGTGCCTTAGTGAAATAGGGATATTAGGGCTTCTGTCATTGTGTTGTCAGAGTTATTAAATGAGATAACACACCTGAAAAACTTGGAACAATGCTGGGCACAGAGTATTTACCCAAAGATGTTAGCAGGCACTGGCATCTTCATTACACGGCTACCATTGTGCTGGCAGTGCCTAAATGAATAAGGCCTCTGAGGCTCACAATCTATGAAGAGAGACAGATGATACACAGCTAACTGCCCTTGCACACTATTACACCACAAGTGAACCATAAACAAGGTGTAACAGAAACCCAAAACAAGGAGTGAATGAGGTCTGGGCTGGGTCTGCTTCCTTGAAAGACAAATAGGTTTTTAAGCTGCTGAAGTCACAGATGGGAACAGCTGTAGACTAATGGACTAGGGTCAAACTTGGGTAGTGCTTATGGTAGAAACCATGTTAGGGACAGAGGCCAGGGCCTTCCATGTATTTCAGCTGTCATTGGAGCTGCAGAGCAGATGGAAAGATGGTTGGGTCTTACAACCATCAACCAACACTGCTACAGCCTGCCCATTCAGGTCCCCTCTGAGAAGAGACTGAGTGATTTCTGAGGCAATAAGTGGCCATTACTGTGGAGGGAGGGGGACTAGCAAGGGTAGACCAAGGACAAGAGAAGGGCATTGGCCCTGGCTGCCCAGTTAGAAATATTAAGGATGTTCTGGGAAGAAGTAGGAGGGAGTAGAGCTGGGCAAAGCCCCAGAACTTCCAGACAGGAATCCTGAGTGAGCTCTGCTTCTCAAGTGGGGGAGGGATAAGGTCCTGACATGGGGGAGTTCCCTGCTGAGTCTGAGGGAGGCAGTGGGGTTTCCCTTTCTGTTTTGTTAGGGTCTTCAAGAAGTCGAGCCCTAACTGCAAGGTGAGTCTCCCATAGTTTTGTTCCTTTTACCCTCCCTGAGCCCTAATAAAGCCCAGCCTGCCCCTAGATGATCCCCAGCCCCTAGCTCCCCACTTCCTGTGACAGCTAAGAGCTGACTTCCTTCCCTCCTGAAGCCCCTTGCCACAGACAGCTCTGCCTGAGCCAACCACAGGGTGGGTGGGGGTAGGGGGCAGGCCTGGGTCCCTAAGCAAGACCAAAGGGGAGTAGGCCCTGTACCTATGGCCCCCTTGGGAGCTAACCCAAGGTTCCTGGGGCTGGGGAAAGGTAACAGCCCCCAGGCTATGGCCTGTTTATCCCAGAGCCCCTGAAGGGGACCTAGTGAGGCTAACAGCTGCTAACTGGCTGGTTCAGCTGAGTCCTCCCTGAGGACCCAACACACACACAAACCCTTCTGACTATTGTGGGCAGAGGTGTGAAAAGACTAGGGAGCTGCTAAAACCCTAAATGGCAGGTAGTCTGAGAAACCCCACCACCCTCACTTCCTAACACTACCAGGAGGAAGACTGGAAAGCCTCCTTTCTGGTAGCCCAGCCTGGCATCCCTGGGCAGGGCAGTCCCTCTTGAGGGCTCTGATGCCTTGTCACCATCCCCCCTACCCCAATCTTCCCTGTGACCCCTTGACATCCTCAGCTCACCGTGTACTTGGGCAAACGGGACTTTGTAGATCACCTGGACAAAGTGGATCCTGTAGGTAAGTTTTCCCAGAAAAGGGCAACTTGTACCCCAAGAGGGGAAGGGCTTCCTGGGCTCAGGAATGGGAGAGAGGCCCTTTCAGGAAATGAGCATGTATATACCTTTCCTAGATGGCGTGGTGCTTGTGGACCCTGACTACTTAAAGGATCGCAAAGGTACTGGCCCCAAGTCTGGGGCCAAGGGGAAGTAGGGAGGTAGGGAAGTGAAATGGGCTGGCAATGAATGGGTACCCTAGAAAGATGGAGGGCTGAGGAGGGAGCTAGGAATAGGATTCAGGCAAGTCTTATAACTGCTGCAGGAGGCTGCCAGGTAGTGGGAGGATTAGTAAAGGAGGACTTCTGACCACCCCACCTTGCCCTCTATTGCCAGTGTTTGTGACCCTTACCTGCGCCTTCCGCTATGGCCGCGAAGACCTGGATGTGTTGGGCTTGTCCTTCCGCAAAGACCTGTTCATCGCTACCTACCAGGCCTTCCCCCCAACGCCCAACCCACCCCGGCCCTCCACTCGCCTACAGGAACGGCTACTAAGGAAGCTGGGCCAGCATGCCCACCCCTTTTTTTTCACAGTGAGGATACCCCCTTGCCCTCTGCAGGATAGAGTCTGGGACTGGATTTAAAGGGGTGGGTGAGGCACCTGTTAAGGGCAGATCTGGAAGAAACAGGGGACCCTAGGCAGGGATCTTATATCCACCTCCCTTCAGGGTCACACTGCATTCAGGAAGCTCTGGACTCTCTGCCTTCTCCTTGGGCTCCTTCCTTTCCATCCCCAGGGGTCCTTTCTCCAGCCTCTTAAATTGAGATTGGGAGGAAGGTCTGGGGGCTTTCTGGAGAGACTGAAGGTTCCTCTTTCCTCTGCCACAGATACCCCAGAATCTGCCCTGCTCCGTCACACTGCAGCCGGGACCAGAGGATACAGGGAAGGTATGGGCAGAACGGGGTGCAGCAGGACCCTGGGCTCACAGCTGAACCGTAGGGTGAACTGTCAAGAAGCTAGGGGGGGCTGAGATGGGGCCTTGTCCCCTGGCAGTGGAGTATGTATGGTGTGGCTACTGTACACATGTGACACGGCCTCAGCTCTTGACCTTCATATACCTGGGAATGGGGGTTCCCCTTACACTATCATGATCAAGCCTCTGCCAGGGGCTGGGCCTTAGAAAGGCAGAGGAAGAAGACTCGGTCCCTATACTCAGACCATAATGGGGCCAGAGTCTGTGTCCAAGACAAGGGAAGAAAGGAGGAAGGAAGGGGAGTGGTGGTAGTGGCAGGGGCCATGGATGACATATGGCCTTTTCTTCCCCTCCTGAGGCCTGTGGTGTAGATTTTGAGATTCGAGCCTTCTGTGCCAAATCACTAGAAGAGAAAAGTCACAAAAGGTGAGGGAAGCTCCTCTATGATATAATCATTCCTTCCTCACTTCCAGGAGCCCTAGGCCCCTGTGGGAGGTAGAAGCAGGGGTATGGGTGTCTTGAGGACTGACCTCTCCTACCCCTAACCCCCACCCTAGGAACTCTGTGCGACTGGTTATCCGAAAGGTGCAGTTTGCACCAGAGAAACCCGGTCCCCAGCCTTCAGCTGAAACCACACGCCACTTCCTCATGTCTGACCGGTCTCTGCACCTCGAGGCTTCCCTGGACAAGGAGGTAGGGGGTGAGAAGGTGACACAGTTGCCACAATTCCAGCCAGACCCTAGGGAGCGTGAAGCCACATGTCAAGATGGCATTTTTGAAGGAAGTTGCCTTGGCTGGCTGTGGAGAGTTGTTAGGGGCTTGGGTTTAAAGGGAAGGGCAGAGCCATGTGTGTTGGAGACACACTATAATGGGACTGGTGAAAAAACAGATCCCACTCACATGACCCCCTCCCCTCAAAAGCTGTACTACCATGGGGAGCCCCTCAATGTCAATGTCCACGTCACCAACAACTCCACCAAGACCGTCAAGAAGATCAGAGTCTCTGGTAGGAGGTGTGGGTTGGAAGGGGGTCTTGGGAGAGGGAACTGCTGCCCAAGTGACTTCTGGTGTGATCTCAGCCCAGGCCACATCCCAGTGTGGGAGACCCACCAGGGCTCAAAGAATTTAGGTTGTACCAGAAAGATATGTGGGGCCCCAGCATTTATTTCTTCAGGGAGGGCCATGTGCCAGAGGGGTGGGGGTGGGGAATGCTGGACCTGGGGTCCATACCACGTGATCTGGAGCTGTGGCATGGTGCTAGTGTGTGCCCCCTCCAGAGCTGCTTGACCCACCCCACAGTGAGACAGTATGCCGACATATGCCTCTTCAGCACCGCCCAGTACAAGTGTCCTGTGGCTCAGATCGAACAAGAGTGAGTATCAGAACAGACTTGGGTCTCAGTCTTAGGGGAGAAGAATAGGACAGGAGAATGTGAGGTGCAGGGTAGAATTCTTCCTAAACCATCTGCACTTAAAAGGGCATTCCCTCCACAGCCAGGTAGCTCTGAGATGCTAATTTTCTTCAGTGGGTTGAGACAAAACCTACTCACTTGTGACCTTTGCCCGAGGAAAGAGGAACTAGTGAGGGGGATTCATGCTGCCTGGGGGTGGCAGGCTGCCTCCTCATCTAGCCCTTCTAAGTCTTGTTCTCTTGTTACTACCCCCTAGTGACCAGGTATCTCCCAGCTCTACATTCTGTAAGGTGTATACCATCACCCCGCTGCTCAGTGACAACCGTGAGAAACGTGGTCTTGCCCTGGACGGGAAGCTCAAGCATGAGGACACAAACTTGGCTTCCAGCACCATGTGAGGGGGCACTGGAGGGGGTCCCCTGCAGGCTGACTGTGCCAGGCTCTGTCCTAGGTGTCAGGGATCTATCAGTGAGCAGAAGAGATGAAAAGAACTCTTACATCCTGGGAGAGGAAGGACAGACAGGTCCGATCAGTGATCACAGATGTTGTTGAGTGACAAAGCGCAAATGAGAAAAGTGAGGCAGAGAAGGAAGACATGAAGCACGGGATGGGGGCACAGCTGTGTAGGGTAACTGGGGACGGCATAAGACAGTTTGATAAGGACCCAGAGGAAGTAGGCAATGTGGAATTTTGGGTAAAGAGTGTTCCAGGCAGGGAGAACTGCAATCACACAGATGCCAAGGTGGGACAGCAATTGTGAGATGCCATTAGCAGCCCCAGAGGTCTGCAGCTTCACAAAGAGGTGTCTCACTGCACAACCACACACAACAGTCCTGGAGGCCAGCATGGTGAGAATGAACGTGTACAAGGAGAGGCGTAGGAGGTGAGGTCAGGGGCTGACAGAGAACAAGACAGTGCAAGGCTGTGAGGAGAGAAGGCTTTCACTGCCAGATGAGAAGCCACAGGAGGGTTCTGGGCAGGGGAGTGCTGTGGTGTACTTTACCATGGTGACCGCACAGCCTCTGCTGCTGGAGCCCTGTAGGCCAGCGTGAGTTTGTGGTCCAGCAGAGTGGGAGGCTGAGAAAAGGGTCAGGCCCAAGGTGCGCTAGGTGACTAAGCAGAGGGCCCTTGTCCAACTTCCCCCACCCGCAATTGCAGCGTGAAGGAGGGTGCCAACAAGGAGGTGCTGGGAATCCTGGTGTCCTACAGGGTCAAGGTCAAGCTGGTGGTGTCTCGAGGCGGGTGAGTGTCATGGGGGAGCCAAACTGGGAGTCCCTGTGGCTCCACATCATTGTTCTTCAAGCCACCTTTCTCTCTCCCCAGGGATGTCGCTGTGGAGCTGCCTTTTGTTCTTATGCACCCCAAGCCCCATGACCACATCACCCACCCCAGACCCCAGTCAGGTAAGCATACCACCCACCCCAGGACCCTGAAAGGAGGGCCTGAAGCAGGGCCAGTGGAGAAAAGCTGGTCCTTCCAGCACCTCCCCACCCAGCCCCTCTCCTCCTCCCCTCAGCTGCTCCAGAAACCGATGTCCCTGTGGATACCAACCTCATTGAATTTGATACCAAGTAAGAAACACATTCCCCTGCTTTGATCTCTTTGGACAAAGATTCCCATAAAATTCAAATCCACCCTCATACCTCCTATTTCTCTTTTATGGGGAAGGACGGTTGAAGCATCACATTCAGATGCCTCAGCCTTGTGAGGCTGTTTATCCCTTCTTGGAAACACCTCTGTCCCTGATGGGGGGAAACAGAGTGGGAGGCTGAGAAAAGGGTCAGAAGCCCCCACTTCATGCCCCTCCTTTCCTCCACAAAGCTATGCCACTGACGACGACATCGTATTTGAGGACTTTGCCCGGCTTCGACTGAAGGGAATGAAGGATGACGACTACGATGACCAATTCTGCTAGGAAGGGGGGCTGAAGAAGGGAGTGGATGGTGCTGGGAGAGGTAGGGACGGGACCAAGATCCCCACTGTCACTGAGGGGAAGTGTCCCAGCCTCTTTTCCCTTCCCCTCCATCTGGCTGCTTCCTCAGGCAACCCCTTTGCTCCCTCACCCCCCACTCCCCCAGCATACACACTGGACCCATCTCTTGCTAAAAGTGGGCATTAATTTTTTAACTACAGCTCTGCTTCTCCAGCCCCCAGTGGGTAGCAAGCTGTGTTCATCCCTAAAGTTGTCAGTGGGGGATGCTGAGAAGTGATAGTAGGGAAAGGGGGAGAAAGAACTGCCACATTCAACGTCACACCAACACCCCTTCCTGACATTCTCTCTGCCTCCCATTTGATGAGACCCTCGTGGAGGCAAGGCCATTTCTTTGTTTCTGAGCAAAAACAAAGAAAATAAACCTTTTAATAGGCACAAGTGTGTATGTGTTCTCTGTAGCATTTAAAAAGTGTACAGTGTGCTTATCCATGGTTCCGTTAGCTTGTGGGTGAGGACCCAAAGGCACCTGACACACAAGCTATTGATAAATGTTTACTGAATGACTGCCCGTGTGCCAAAGTAAACACTGACCTTGGATTTGGTCAGTCTAAATTCAAGGGTACACCTTGGTAAAGCCACAAAGTAAACGTAAGTCATTTACAGGGGAAATAATAACTAACTTCCCTACAGACAAGATGCTCTTGGTATCTGGGTAGGGCAGGCTCTTCCCTGTGGTGGCTGACACCCATGACCCCATTGTGACCTGTTGTGAGTTATTTCCACTGCTCTTCATGGTTGCTCAAGCGGTCCATTCCCCAGGCTCAGCGGGACAGCAATTGCAGGCCTCTCCAGACATCAGCCACATGCCATGTCTATGCAGTCTGGTACTTACATTGTAATAGAAGCAGAGGCTTTGGGTAGCCCAGAAAGTTATGCTGCTGTGAGCCCAAGTTCTAGGACCTGCATCCTAGTGCTGCTCCTGTGGCGTTCATCAGGGACTCCCAGTGGCTTGGCCCAAGCCCCAGGCTGCGTTGGAGGGAGTTAGCAACACCCCAGGGACATTTCTCACCTGAATCACTCACTCTTGCTGCTGTAGCCCAACCTTGCTCTGCTTTTTCTCTTAAGGCTTCTTCATTCATTCCATGAACAACCTTGATTTGAGACCCTACTATGTACCAGGCACGGCATAGGGACATAGCAGTAGAACTAATTTTTTTTGGTAGAGACAGAGTCTCACTTTATCACCCTCGGTAGAGTGCTGTGGTGTCACAGCTCACAGCAACCTCCAACTCCTGGGCTTAGATGATTCTCTTGCCTCAGCCCCCGAGTAACTGGGACTACAGGCACCCACCATAGTGCTTGGCTATTTTGTTGTTGTTGTTGTTGCAGTTTGCTGAGGTTGGGTTTGAACCCGCCACCCTCGGTATATGGGGCCAGTGCCCTACTCACTGAGCCACAAGTGCCACTCAATCATTCCCTAATTATTTAATTGCAATATCTATGTTTCAAAGGAGAAGTACAGGAGCTGTGAGAAGGCACCACAGGAGTTCTGACCTAGGCTGGGGTTTAGGGAAGACTTCCTTAGAAGAAGTGACCTTTAAGCAGAGAACTAAAAGATGAGGAGGAATTAACTAATGCAGGCATGAGCATTCTGGGCAGTGGCCATGCCGTGTGTGAAAGTAGGAAGGAACAGAGCACATTTGGGGGACTGAAAGAGGCCAGAAGGACTAGGACAGACACAGCCAGGGGAATAGCTTCAGATGAGTCTGGTGAGGCAGATGGAAGCGGCTCACACAGCCTGTTAGTCTATGTTACAGCTCATGATATCTAATTAAATTGTTATTTATCCACAGGCTTTAAGTGCTTCCAAAATGACCTTGCTTACTCCACCACAGAGTATCAGCCTTCCCTATGCATCCTGGACTTTATCATATGGCAGAAATATCCCTTCTAAAACCTTCACCTCCGGGATCCCTCTGACTTCCATGAACCTGATCCTTGACCTCTAAGCAAACGGATCTCAAACTTTTTGCATGCCTCTGGAAGACATGACAGATCCAGAATCCAGCTCTACCTTCCCAGATACTGAGTCAGGAGATCCCAAGAAGAATCCATTTTTTTAATTAGCACACACTGTGAGAAACAATGCTTTTTTTTTTAGATTTTTATGTGTTTAATGTTTTTTAGAAGGTAATACATACACATGGTTTAAAAAAAAATCCAAACAGGCTTGGCATGGTGGCTCATTCTAGCACTTTGAGAGGCCAAGGTGGGAGGATCACATGAGGCCAGGAGTTTGAGACTAGCCTGAGCAAGAGTGAGACCCTGTCACTACAAAAAATAGAAAAATTAGCCAAGCATGGTGGAGGCTGAGAGGCAGGAGAATCACTTGAGCTCAAGAGTTCAAAGCTGCAGTAAGCTTTCATGCTGCCACTGTACTCCAGCTCAGGAAACAGAGCAAGACCCTGTCTTTAAAAAAAAAAAATCCAAACAGTATAAAACATCAAGGAAAAAAGTTTTTTTCTAGTGTGGTAGTCAGTGTGCTAGAGATATGTGGTTTGTATGTTTCATGAGGCCCTGGGCTCCAAACTAGCTTAAGTTAAACACAACTCACAAGGTACTTAATGTGTTAAAGACTTCATTTTTTCTTTTTTTTTTTTCCCCAATGCTCTCGGCCCTTCTGTTCTCTCACAATTTGATAGTTCCTTTTTTTCCCAGCCTACAATTCAAGATTATCATATCAACCACTGTCTCATCAGCACATGCAACTTCTCCTTTCACAATAGTGTTCTCAAGCTCCACCCTCAGATCTATCCAACTATCTCCTGCCCCTTCTTTGCTCCAACATAGGTTGATGCTTTCTACCAAAGAAAAAACACACAACCACATATTCCTTCACTGGACAAATATTTTTGAACACATTCTGGGTGCCAGACGCTAGGTATGGATTTGAAGTCCCTAAAGATTTATAATCTGTAACCTAAACAAGGCCCTGAATACCTGATCACCCCTTGTCCCTCTCCATGTCCTGGGTCATCTCTCCTGCTCCCATCCTACTAATTTTCTACCTTCCTCATGCTCAGAGTGACTTTCTTGTTTTTCACAAAGATTAGGCAATGAAGGATGAATGATTTCAATTTCCTACCTCCTACTGACAAACACTGACATCTATACCAATTCTCCTACGCAACCAAGGTTAAGATGCCTTCTCCAGTTCAAAGCTAATCCTTCCACCTGTGCTCAGATTGCTCTCCTCCCACCTTCTCCAAGACCTTGATTCATCAAACCACACCCCTCTCTTCAACCTCTGTCTCTCCTGGCTCTTCCTCCATGGTAAAACAAAAAAGCCCACGCAAGTCTCTTCCATTGAAGGAAAGAGGAGAGGGTGGAACCAAAGGAAAGGAAGAGAGAAAACCAAAGAAAAACTCTCCTCTGCTCTTAGGTCTCTTTCATAGTAAGGTACATCTCTATTTATTTCCTCTCACTTTTCATTCTTTCTTTACTTTTTATTTTCAAAGTTATATATAGTGTGTGTGTATGTATAATATATATATTTTTTAAGTTTAAGGAATTAGATATTACTACAAGACATAATAAAAAGCAAATCCTTCCTCTCCTCAATTTCCTTTTCCTCAGAGACACAACTACTTTTATCTCTTTTTGATGTTTCTTTTGGGATCTACCTCCAAATCTCTAAACATACTTATTTTGCTACTTCTTGGTTTTTGTTTTAAGCATCATCTACTGGCTCCTCCCTCACCCCATAATGAAATACTCTCCATTCTCCCAAACACCCTATACTCCCAAAAGAATTGTATCAGTTGGAGTTAGATCAATATTCAGTATTTAATTATACTTCTGCAGATGTTATTCATAACTGAGTCATGTGGTATATTATAATTACCCTTCTCTTCTTATACAACTTCATTCTCCCTAAGTCATCATCCTTTTTAAATTTGCTTATTCTCGGGTGGTGGCACCTGTGGCTCAAGCAGTAGAGCACTGGCCCCATATACAGAGGATGGTGGGTTCAAGTCCAGCCCTGGCCAAAAAAAAAAAGAAAATTTGCTTATTCTCTGAATTTATTACTAATCAGCCCTATACTCTCCTCCAAAAGTCAATATATCCTCTCAATTCATTTAAAACAAAACAGATGTTCACCTGGATCGCTCCAAGATCCTTCCAATCTGCTCCATTCTGAACCGCCTGTTCTTCATGCCTGCTCCCTGGATTTCCCTTCACCACAACCCTGGGGTTCCCATTGACCTCACGAGTTGGCCTTGGTTCCTGGATCCCATCTTCCTCTTCTGCATCTAACTCTAATAATTTCCTGAGAAAGGGTGCACATAGAAGAAAAATTCTGAGACCTTGTACATATCAAAATGTCTTTTATTCTATACTCATAATTGAGAGTTTGGCATTGTGAGACTCTAGCTATCCCCTAAAACAGTGATTTTCAACCTTCCTAATGCCGCAGTGTATTTTCATTGTTAAAAAGGGGTTTTGACCCACAGGTTGAGAACTGTTGCCCTAAAAGCTATTTTTCCGTGGTACTAGGTAAGGACCTAGGTAAGGACTGGATTTCCCAGAACCCCTGAGTTAGGTGAGATCATATGATTTAAGTTTTCTTCAATGGTATGTGAGTAGCAATAGGCCACTTCCTAGCCAGACGTCTGATACAGGTGTATCTCCTCCACATTTTTTCTTTTTCTTTTTTAGACAGAATCTCACTTTGTCACCCTGGGCAGAGTGCCACGGCATTATAGCTCACAGCAACCTCAAACTCTTGGGCTCAAGTGTTCTTCTTGCCTCAGCCTCCCAAGTAGCTGGGACTACACATAATTACCACAATACCTGGCTCTTTTTTAGAGATGAGGTCTCACTCTTACGCAGGCTGGTCTCAAACTCTTTGTTTTTTTTTTTGTTTGTTTGTTTGTTTGTTTTTGTTTTGAGACAGAGTCTCACTCTGTTGCCCTTGGTAGAGTGCTGTGATATCACAGCTCACAGCAACCTCAAACTCTGGGCTCAAGCAATCCTCCTACCTCAGCCTCCCAAAGTAGCTGGGACTACAGGTGCCTGCCACAACACCCAGCTATTTTCAGAGATGGGGTCTTGCTCTCGCTCAGGCTGGTCTCGAACCTGTGAGCTCAAGTAATCTGCTCGCCTTGGCCTCCCAGAGTGCTCAGATTACAGGCATGAGCCACCATGCCCAAACCTTCTCCACATTTTCTTTCCCCTTCCTGCCAGCTGCAACCCAGGGATGGCAGCAACTCAGTTTTGACAATGCAAACAATGCCCCAAAGGAGTGTTTCTCAAATTTTACTGTGCATACAAATCACTTGGGGATCTTAAAACGCAGATACTGATTCTCTAGGTCCAGGGTGAGAAGTGAGATTGTGATTTCTAACAAGTTTCTAGGTAAAGCCAATGCTGCT